GATTTCTTCGACTGCTTCAAAATTCTATTATCTATTACTATCTTCTTATTATCAATAACAATTTTTCGTTCGACGCTTTGTTTTCGAGAAAATCGACTTTGAATTTTCGCTGGGTACGCCTGCACTTTATCGCGTCTGTAGATTTTTAAAAAAATTTTTTAAATTAAAAAAAAAATTTTATTCGATATTTTCGACTCCTTTTTTCGCGTAGAATCACCCCCTTTCCGCTTGTACCACCAGTTACCAACCACCCTGTATAATTACGTATATAATTTTTAACTATTATTAATCACTTACTGTGACCGTTTCGGTTAATTTCTCTTTATATGAATTCGTCGGTATCCTTTGGGTGATTCATTCCATGTCAATCGAACGTCCATTTGAAAAAAAAAAAAAACTATCGATCAGCACTGTTCGGTAGACAAACGATATGTACCGATGCTTAAAGACGAACTAATTACATTCTGGCTTAAAGTCAAAACGATAATCTCACGTTTAAAATTAGACTAATAATCTTATCTCTCGTATTAACATTTCAACAATATGCCAAAGATCGTAAGTCATAGATACATTTTAATTGAAATATAGTTTATGCTAGCTATTCGTATTTATGGATTTCTGACGAGACAAACTTTAATAACTCACAAATTCTAATGTTCTTGAAACTGTACGGGTTTGTAGGCGATTTCGAGACAAGTGTCGTCAAACTACCCCTTCGGTCTTTTGGTTACTCAGCGAATATTGTAGCTTCTTGTTACAGTATTATTTCATAGAGCTTGTACGTGCTACAGTTTACTCGTTTATGCTTACGGTGTTACAGATATAATTACGCGTTAATTATATAGGAGAACTTGATATAAAGAACTTATTTCTAATATTTAAGCAAAGATTTGCCTCACCTGCCAAATACTATGAACGCATTTCTACCTCTTCGAATTCGCAGTCTAGCGATAAGTTTGCTTTACGTATACTTTGTCAGAAGTTCTAGCTTCGCGGGCAGATTCATGAATTCATATGATTCCTAAGATGCACATTCGTTCATCGAAAACTAGCAGCAAACTGTAATCGAACTAAAGTCATTAGTAAACTGCGGATTTTCATATATCTATGACAAATTTAAAGAATCGAAAACCCACAGAACGTATGTGACACGCAAAGATATATAAAATATTCAAAGTGATGTACTCTCGTCATAATCTTCGCTAGACGAAACAAATTACTATGTAAATTTCATTTCCTTAGTTCTCCCCGTAAAAGTACGAAAAAAAAGGAATCCATAATCTACGATTCGTAACTCGTCGTTTGACTAACAATGCTAATCGATAAATTATCTGATAAAAGCAAAAGAGCCGCGAAAATTCGGGAAAATATTTTTGAACGGTGAGGTAGATTCAGGCGAATGTTGCCCGTTTTATCCGCTCTTGAATCATTTATTCTTAACTCTTCCAGCTTGCTGGATTCTCAGACTCGCGATCATGTTCGAGTCTTCGTTCGACCAAAATGTCCACGATCAAGTTCTTAAACCATAGGGAGAGCGCGTTATATATATGTGGTTTTAGCTGTGAAAGAAAGTACGGGATATTAAATATAGGAAATAAAATACAGGGAATAAAATATAGGAAATAAAATGTGGGGAAATAAAATCGAAGGAAATGGTTAAAAAAATGGATAGGACGTTAGCGAATGGTTACTCGGATTTTCCAGTTGTTTAGCTTTTTTACTCTTGACCGATAGTGGTCAAGTAGAGGTGGAGAGCTGGCTTTCTTTTATCGTGCCCTCGAAACATGTTTAATTCACGAGGCACGCGTCTATATGACCCCCATACGATTCTTCGCTCGGAAAGCTAGAAGCTGGCAGGAAATATACGCGAGGGGACGGCTGACGACGTTCCGGCAATCCAGATAAGTGGTCATACATTTATGTAGCGTATACGAAACAGCTTCCCAGCGTTCTCACGCGCGCTAACAAATTATGGAAACGCGCTTCCGATGGATAAAACGATCGTGAACCTTCGTCGCCCTTTTAACACCGTACCTTCGTTTCTGATTTCTTATTACCATTTCCTTTTCCCCTTAGAAAGTAACGGTTTATCAGTTTACATCACTGATTCCTTCTTTCGTCGCATCGCTAACGATCGCAAGCTTTTCTACATGGTCTCGCTTCGAACAGTTTTACGTACTCGTTAAATTCATCGAGCAATGGGTCTCTGAATTTCCTGCAAACAATTTTTATAACCATTCGACGTGTTTTTACAAGTCTCCAGCGATTCGATAATTACCTTGTGCAAATACTAAACTTCGATGAATTAATTATGTCTCTAACAATGTGTGTCGATTATCGCGCTTCACACCAGAGCAGCAGGTGTTCTGATACTTACGAAGGGAACACATACACACGCGCGGGCGCGTATTCATACATGGAGACCTCTGTACGTTGGATAGATTCAGCAACAAGTAATTTCATTTTCTGAAAACGAATTTGTTAAGATTTGGTTTCCTGACAAAGGTACCATTTAATTAGAAAAAAGAGAAAGACGTTCCGACTTACGAGAGTTTCAAGACGTCACGAAGTTTGGGATTGGAGCATCGCGAATTTACAAGTTCGAGTCTCGGCGTATTTCTACTTACGACTGGCGCGAACAGAAATTAAAAAAAAAAAATTGATAACGCTCTGTTGTTGTTGGAGGTGCTGGGATTTGAACCCAGGACTTTCAGCATGCGAAGCAGACACTCTACCACTGAGTTACACCCCCGAGCTGTTACATGCAACAACGGAACACCTCGTCACCGAAGCCAGAACATACACGCGTTCTGAATTTTAATTTAGTATTATACCGTAGAATTACTTTGTCGAATAGATTCTTTGCTGCTACTAAATAGATTTTGTCTTCTCCATTCTATCTTTGTCTTATGCTCTGTACGTTTCCAATGATTGTGCCGCAGTGCCCATTATACCGGAGTTTCTATACGACATCAAGCACCCTAACGCAACCTTGAGTCAGCATCTGAACGAGGGTGGTTCCCGTCGAACGTTCACCGGTATTCAAGCAACAAGCGGTAATATCGTCACATCTACGAGTCCCAGTGTAACAACTACGCCAAAATGTCCTTGTGCTGTGACCAAGTCGAACGATTCTCAATTGGAGTTTCTTTACGTGAGCACGCCTTCTAGCATCGAGTCAAGCGGTTTGCTTGGTAAGAGTAAATAATTTCGTGATATCGTGACCCTCTTGCACTTGCTTTAGAGCGTGCCAATGTTTCGTTGTATTCGAGAAAATATTTATCTACAACCATCGAATTTTTATTTCGAACGAATATAATTTACTCGAACGTTCTGTTTGTTTGCGAAAAATTATCTTCGATGGGAAATCTCCGTGTGATGAATGCAGAAAATTTGTAATACGATTAGTATACCGTGATTAATCGCTATTGGCACGCGTTTTTCCCAGAGAGTACAAATAGCGGCGAAATAAATTCGGCAACGGAAGATCCGGACGAAAAGGCGCAACGACATCGCGAGTTGCTGCAAGAAACGACTGCTGTTGGTTTAATGTTCGCCTCCAAGGCTTTCGTTCAATTGCTGGCAAATCCAATCGTCGGTCCGCTTACCCACAAGTAAGCGAGTGCATACATAATGTACGCTGTATATGTATGTATATTAAGTTGTATAATATGCTCGTTTGTTCCTTTTATATAAGATTATTATTGTTTTTGTTTATTATTTTGTTCCGTTATCATTTGCAATGGGATTAAGTTTCTTTTCAGTGATCTAAAAATTTCAAAAAATTGCATACCATTATATTCTTCTCTAATGATTTTCCTAATTTTCTAAATATCGAGACAAACAACATTAATTTTACATGACTTAAGTTGCATCTGTATATCGTTCTTCCACTTAATTATTCGATTATTACTCGAAATAAACATGTGAAAGCCGTTTCACGCGTATTTGTAGCGCGTCAAAGTACAGAAACCAACTCGTTATTTGTCTGATTTGACCAAAACCATTGCGTTTCTTTCCAGAATCGGTTATAGCATACCCATGTTCACTGGCTTCATCATTATGTTCCTTTCAACACTGATATTTGCGTTTGGACGAAGCTACGGAATTCTTTTCTTAGCGAGGGCGCTTCAGGGAATCGGCTCTTCGTGTTCCAGCGTTTCAGGTAAACCCGATAAATACGAAGCACGTGTCTAACGTTTCCCTCGTGAGAAGCAACCCACGTGTGAATATTGAATACGTATCAATGGGGTCGAGAATGATGAAGAAGATCGCTTAACACATTCCAGACAGATGTATCTCGCCGCAATGACCGACGTCCACATATGCATGTCATCAGTCTCTTTGGTCAATTGTCAGACAGTTACAAGTCTAGATAATGTTTCTGTCTATTATATACGTATTATATAGTTTTCCAATGCTTGAACTAAATATTATTATCTTCTGCGTATTTCTTTTCTTTTTTTTTTTTAGACGCTATTTTTAAAACGCTATTTTATTCGGATGACGCACATAGCGTCAAAAATTGTCTAACATGTGTTTTTTTAATCCTACATTGATTAGCTTTACTTGCTTTTTATTACAAATGTAAAAAATATTTCCGTCATTGGGATGAGTTTTATTGAAAATCACCGGTCTCGAATGTATTAAGCCAGCAGAGCGAATGTATTAAATGTCCTTTTATGAGTATCATTAATCCTGTTACAATCCCCTATAGATACTTTAACCTTGCTCTCATTCTAGCAAATAAAGAAATTTATAGCGTTTTAAAGAGATGTTTGACAAGACAACAAGAAACAAGATCTCTTTCGTATTTTGTCCAAACCGAAGATATTTTTTAACGTTAAAGAAATATAATTGGACTTCATTCTGTTCGAATTTCGATCGATCGTTCGATTCATTCACAGGTATGGGAATGTTGGCCGAAAGATACCAAGACGACAAGGAACGTGGTAACGCGATGGGTATTGCACTCGGTGGATTGGCTCTTGGTGTTCTCATCGGACCTCCATTTGGCGGCGCGATGTACGAATATGTCGGAAAATCTGCTCCGTTCTTGGTACTTTCGGCATTGGCCCTTGGCGACGGAAGTGAGTATTTCTCCATGTTCATCTTTTTCTTACGCGCCATTTACTTCCATTCTATCTTACATTTATCGATTGCACTTTGTATAATACCATTCCCAGTTTTGCAACTTCTGGTGCTTCAACCGTCTGTCGTGTACACCGAAGCGGAACCACCGTCTCTCAAATCTCTGGTCACCGATCCTTACATCGGTTTAGCTGCTGGTAACTATTATTTTTCCATCCACTAACCTGAAAAAATGAAATCTTCAATAAGGGCGAGAAACCTAGCCAATATACGAGATATTAAGTATCAAAGGTTTACGCCAAACGTATTATATCGATCTGTTTGTTCGTTGATCTATATACAGTACCTGGAAAAAGAAAGTTTAAAGTTAGCAAGTAATTTAATTGTATATGCGCATGTTAGTAACTTTTGTACCAGATATTTTTCACCATATTGTCGTGTATGTTGCATTTATTCATTACTCTTGTCAAGTACAATTTTATAGAATTCTTTCATCCCCTAAACTGCATTTCTTCCACCTTAGATTAACACGTATTATCACCATTTCAATTGCCAATGACCAATCTATTTTTCAGGTGCTATTACGTTCGCCAATATGGGTATCGCAATGCTAGAGCCTAGTCTTCCTATCTGGATGATGGACACGATGGATGCGAGTAGATGGGAGCAAGGTGCCGCCTTTCTACCGGCAAGCATTAGTTATCTGATCGGTACTAATCTTTTCGGACCACTCGGACATAGAATGGGCAGGTTAGTAGACGTTATTACAAATATCTTCTCCTCTAAGCCCTCCTTCTAATATTCACCAGTAAATGTCAGACATTTTGAATATTTTATATTTTGTAAAAATTTAATTCTGCTAGCAGTGGATAAGCAAACACGTGATTACCATCGCCTGGATAGCTCAGTCGGTAGAGCATCAGACTTTTAATCTGAGGGTCCAGGGTTCGAGTCCCTGTTCGGGCGGCTTAATTTTTGTATTTTTTTCTTTTTTCTCTTTTCCTAATAACTTTCTCCCGTATTTGTAAACCAGAAATATTTATGCAAATTTAGCTTTTTACGAACATAATTAAAGAAATGAAACCCAATTAGAGATTCGTTTTACACACGAAAATAAAAATAAATTTACATACTTCTGTATAATATATACATTCTGTTTTTTTTTTATATTTTAAATTTATACAATAAATGTATAAATATCCACAATTTACTTATTTTCAATTCGTTCTATTCGAACTATTTTCTCGTATATCTACCAATATCTCTTTCTTTTTATTATAGATGGTTAGCTGCATTGATCGGGTTGGTCGTGATCGGCATTTGCTTGATGTGCGTAAGTATTTCATTTTTTCTTATTTTATTTGTACGGACCAACATGAATCATCGTCAAACTATAGAGCACGACATTTTTTTTATTATTATTTTCTTAAACAATGATACGAATAGTTTTCTCACATTCACAGATACCGCTGGCTAAAAGTATTCATCATCTGATCGTACCTAACGCAGGCTTGGGATTTGCTATCGGAATGGTGGACAGTTCGATGATGCCGGAATTGGGATACTTAGTCGACATACGACACACCGCTGTCTATGGAAGTGTATATGCTATCGGAGATGTTGCGTTTTGTTTAGGTTTTGCCGTTGGTACGTGCATATGTGAAAAATCCGCTTGATAATTGAACGTAATCAATAATATTGTCAATATTGTAAGATTCTCAACAAAGATATTATCTGTCTATAAATATTGACAATATTGTATTGACAATACATATTGATCCTTCTAGTTGAAAATCTTGAAATAATGACATATACTGATAGTCTGGGGGCATCGAATGCCAAATGCTAGGTTTATAACTAGATTAACTTCACATTTTACATTTTTTTATTTCATAACCTAGATACGTGATTAACAGGTTGACAGCGGAACGATGTCACGTATTGTTCTGCTATGACTGATTTTTTTTAAACTTATCGATCTTTTCGATAATTTTTAATAACAATAATAATAATAATAATTTGTGCGTGACGCCAATGTGGTGTCATTGTCAGGAATCAAATCGGACCATTTGTATGGCACATTAATATTCTCTATTACCTCTTTCTTGTTATTCATTTCTTATTTTTTTTTAAATCTGATAGAACACCAATTTGCGGGTTCTTCAAATATTTTAATTCACGCGGATTTCCATTCCAATCATCGTTTAAACATTCGTTCGCGTTCAAATTTTAAACATGCGACGAACTTTTTACTCTTTCAGTGAAATTTTAATTTTTAATTAAATCTCAAAAAAGTTGTGATACTTGTAATATTCTGATTATTAATCGTTCATTATCAGGACCTGCTTTGAGTGGTACGTTAGTCAACAGTATTGGCTTTGAATGGATGTTATTTGGCATTGCCATTTTGAACTTTATTTATGCCCCACTGATGTACTTTTTGCGGGCGCCGCCAACGAAAGAGGAACAGAAGGTAAGACGAAAGTTCTTGCTTCTATTTGTTCAAAAATTCGTAATTGAAAGCTTGTTCGATCGTCGTATTGATGATGTATTACCTTCTAGTCGTTGATAATTGGCGAAAAGTCGTCTGTGCGCTACGTAACGTACCAGAATGAGGAAGAGGAACAGTAAATGGACGGATATTTCTGAACACAGGATAGCGGCGTGCATTTCGTTCTCTACATTCTTGAAGATGGAACAACGAGTTAAATGTAATACGGAAAATCTCTATGTTAATAACGTTCCGAGAAATCTAGATAGGTAAAATATTATTATGTATCCCTTTGTCTAGCGCAATCTGTATATACACGTAACATTAGATCGTAAGAATAAGTGTGTGCGTTCAAGAGAATCGTATACGTCGATGACACGTAGCTAACGTCGATAAATTACACTTACGTCGAATTGATCGAGGCACCGAGGCAAAAATACATCGATATAACGAACACGTGTGTAGCTTAAACGCACGATGCCCAAGATTGGGATGTTGTCCTGTCGTAAAACGCAAACTGTGTGAAATTTCAACCGCTCGAGTCATTGTCGATGTTTCAAAGAGTATCAATTTCCTAAAGAAAGAAGAAAATTATTTACTCGGAGAACCGCCTGCTTTGGATTCCCTGAATGGCTGCAGGGAAACCATGCGATAATGGCGAGCAGGCAGGATGAAGAGTTCTCGAAATTACATTGGATCGAATTGTGAATTAGTATTGAATCGACCATGAGAAGTGGTTTGATTACCCTTTACGTAAGCATACTTACGAAGCATGTAATGCCTTAAGGATTGGAGATTCGCGAGTTTGTGTTTAACGAGTTAGGATAAAGACCGAATTTCGACACGTTCTTTCGCACGATGCATGATACTCGTCAGATCGATCCGCTGACGAGTATTTTCGTTGTGCTCTACGATAGATTATTCGCCAATAACCAAAGAGAAATATTCCTCTGACGTGGAGGAAATATATTCAAACCAAAATGAAACTATAATTATCGAAGGATGAGTCAACAGCGTTCAACGAATTTGCAAATTACACGATAAACTTTATGTGAGTTCGCGGCGGAAAACTCTAACAAGAAAATGTTTGTGCTTCCTTTTTCTGTGCGTGTAATGCTTTCCGACGATCAAGTCGATTCCTTTTTGTCCGTTGTGCGTGTTTGTGATAGGTATCAAACGAATTAAAATATAGAAACGTAGGAACCAAACTCGTATATAACACGTTCTTTTCTTCTAATAATTCTATGTAGACAATATACAATCCATACATACACGCGCGCGTATAATATATTAGCTATAGGTAGGACATATCTATAGAAAAATATCATAGAACGTATATATCGTTTACTTATATCGCTACAAAATATGCTAGAGTTGATCATTGTATAATTGTTGTTTGCTCGTGGAAAATGCATAATGTCGTTACGAACAAAAGTTATATGATTATAAATACGTTTGGATTCTAAGCTACTGCGAATGCGTATGGAAATTAACAAAAATACGGATCGTGTCGTTGCATGTTAGATGAATCTCGAGTGCGAGGTTATCACGATTGAATTTCGTGATACATATTTTCCGATAAGAAAAATATTATATATCTCTGTAGTAATGTTGTAGAACGTTTGAATTCATGATGTTGCCGAACCTGTACAAAAGTATGTATTATGTTAATATACATATAATAATATATATATAGCAGAAGGGTTGCAACGAGATGAAATATAATATGGAGTACATATGCATATATAGAATAGAATTCTATTCAAGAGAGAGAGAGACAGTTTTCCACCGCGAATTCCGTGAATTCTCGAGGTTGCGTTACGTTGTTACGCGAACGCCGACCTACTCCCGATATGAAACGCGAGTCAATTCGATTTGCAAATTCATCGCGAACGTTTGCCACGACCGAGCGTACTCGAGAGGAAAAGGTAACAGAGTAGGGGCATCGTGTTCACAAAAGTGGATCGAGATCTCGAACGATTTCCAGAACCGAGTGTAACGAGCCAAAGAGGTTAAAGAAACGTACGAATTGTCATCCTTGCATTGATATATCGTTATAAATTATCTGTATTAATGTTACAATGCAACATATATTCTCGTTAAGGATTCTTTACATTTCTGTAAATATAGAAAACGTACGTATGTATTTAAGGAGCAATTATAACAGAATGTAGTTAACATTTACGGGTCAACTTCATTATTAATCAACAACGATTTACCAGCTTCTTCATTTCCATATTCTTCTTTTTCTAGACTATGATTTAACCAACATGAAAGATCTGTCGCGTACGATAGAACTTCGACCATGATGTATAATTATTAGATTGCGGATATTTATGCAAATTCATATTTTTATGAATATGTACATGTTAGAAAATCGAGCTTAAATGGTTCTATTGTCTAAATATCATAGCAAATGCCCTACTTTCGATGTTTTATATATCTTCATATGCTATATGTACTGTGTCCATTATTGTACCTTTAAATTTGGCATAAGTACATAAAAATCCACAGTCTAGTAATTATGGTCTATTATTACACTCATCTGATGTTATCTCGCTTTTGCAACATTTTGTCTTAGCGTTCCATGTCGGATGAATTGAAAGTGATTGCTGCTATTGCAAACAGACAATAAGCGATATCATGAAACGTGAAAGTTTCTTGGCACACGAAATCGCGGAAACAAACGGTCGTTTTAATCGTTGTTTGATGAAACCTTCTCTTTGATAAATAATGCGTCCTTGATCCATTTGGGCTTGACAGGTTGTTAAATGTCGTTGAAAGTGAGTTTCATTGAATTTAGACGAAGCCAGAACGAATAACAGATGTCTCACATATATCTAAGTGTGCATAATTCTATCTCCAACGGGCATTGCGTGCAGGCATAAGCCAATAAATTACCAATACATTTTCCTTCCTCCTGTCCTCTGTCATTGTAACGTATATACATATATGCATATAATATTTAACCAGCTGGTGTATGGGTCCGATTTAATCTGTCTGTGTAGTCGTCGAAAAACAGCGAGACTCAAGAAGGAGAAAGGTATTTTTTATTCTTGATAAGCGATGCAATTGTATTGTGTGTGCGTACGTGTGTGTGTACTTATGTAAAGTTGTATCGAACTTTTGAAGTACGTAAAAATGCATGTATTTGCGAAAGGAATATTATATGGCAAGGGAATTAGAACGCGCACGCAAATCGACTCTGAAAATCGTCAGTTTTTCGCTCAACGATATCGATGTCCGAACGCGATGCTCCAAAACATTTCGAATTTTTATCTCATAAGATCGCTACAAACACGAGGCAACCTTATTTCAAATGAATCGAGTGTTATTCGACGTTATTTGTCGTTGAAACGCATGATATGTTTATGTGTATGTTGTTCAATAATATGTATTTAAATAAACATTTACGTGTTTAACGTGAAAAATCATTGCATATATATATGTTCATGTCTGGGAAAATTAAAAATAGAATATTAGTACTTCATGAATATTCTATGAGTGTTAGATTAGGTAATATCTTTTTCTGGTCACGGTGCATTGTACATTTCAATACATTATGATAGAAATATATATATCTATATGTGTGCATATAATATAATATACATACACATATATACACAATATTAAATTTATTTATTCTCTAGATATCCAGGGTAGAAAAATATTTTGTTAGAGAACACGTATCGATGACTGACTATGTAATAATTTTCGACGGATGAATCAGATCCTACATTACAAACGAAAAGACTATAATATGGTTGCGTTAATACACATCGACTTTTTATGTAACTCACATATCATCTCTCATTGATAGCTATCATTACAAACAACTTTAATTGATAATTAACATTCAACAGCAGTATATACAAAAACATATTACTTAATACTACTATAGTCATATTATCGTATTCGCGTATACGTGAAGATGTGCAACATAATATGTTAATTGAATTGTAATTGTTTGAGAATGAAATATAAATATATATATGTTTGCATATTTACTTATATTTATATTTCATTCTCAAACAATTACAATTCAATTAACATACTTCAACTTATACGTAATTACGTTGAGATATTTAGTTCTCAAAAGACACTAAAATAATAAAACAGCGTCGATTGTCGTCACCAAAGTATTTACCAAATATTCAGCACTTTTCCATGGTAAAATGTGCTAATATATTATTTTCACGTTTTGACGACAAGATCGGAAATAAGTGTACTAAGCCAAATAAAAAATAACGATTACCAAATTCGCGGCATACAATGATTTGATCTAAGTATATGTATGTCCTTCCCGTTGACTTAAGCGTTATAGATCGTTCACATTATTATATCACAGTAATCTAAAAGTAAATAAGTCTAGCGTCTTCTGGATTTTGTTCTACTGGACAATATGGACATTTCAATCTGGAAAATAAAATTCAATTTTTATTTATATTCTATTAAAGCCTCTTGCCTTTTATTATGTTTTTCCTAAGTGGTTTCAACTTTTAATTTAACATTCGCCTTATTATTAAAATACATACTTGTTTGCGTTAGTAAGTTTATTTAACGCATCTCTTGAAATAACGTGTCCACAGACTAATTTCATTGGCGGATTATTCTCTGTACTTTGTTGTCTCAGAATTGGACACGCGAAAACAGAATGATAACGACCGTCTTTGCCGAGGTCTATTTCAATCTGCGGAGGAAAGTATCGGTTAAATAATGCAATATTTGTTTTCCATTTATTTATCCAGTTACTTACAGGTAATTCATCTTTTCCATTCCAAACGGTATTTACTTGCCTTTGTTGCATAACTTGCTTAATATTCAAAAGCGTTGGTAACGCAGTACAACCAGCATTAATGCTAGAACATAACGTTGCCAGATTTTCCTATCATTTATGCATTTATCTTTACGCGTTTTACGATATCAGAAACTATGAAAAAACATACCATACAGAAAGAGGACTATCTACGCTTAAACCAAATAATGTGCAAGCCTCTCTCGTGAATACATCGTGAATATCTAGCCATAAAGTAGGATCCAACAAATGACTGTAAGGAGAGGACTGTATTCCATTTGGTAAATACAATAATGTGCCCATTAATGCCTGCACCTCTTTTCCATGTCGACCGACGTATTGCGTAAGATTTTGACGAGCATAATTTATTGCTTCAGTTTGTTTGCTAGGTCCTTGTTGAATCAGTCTTATAAAATGTAACCTATGAAGCTTAAACTCAAGAGACGAATTCTACAAATAATGTTTAATGTCAGATATATTTGCACCAAAATAGTGTTATCTGAGCAGTAGCAATGGATGATGTTGTGCGTACTTGTGCTAGAAGTGCTTCTCTATGTCTTTTAGCCCATTCAAGCGCAGGTTCCAAATTTCTTTGCTTTAAGCAATCCAATATATAATTTAATTCTGTGAATGGCTCCTTTGTACCTTCTTCTGTTTTAATTCCAGCTTCCTGTAACAACAGATCCATTGTGTATATAGTTAAAAATTTATATGGTGTACACATGTGTATATATGATATTTATATAGACTTACCGCTGCTAATTCTGCTGCAATATCCAACATGCCATGACGGTAAAAATGCTGACAAATAACTTGATTTAAAAGATGTGATTTTTCTGGACCTGAGAAAACATCTTCTCTGCTTGTACTTGCAAAGTCTGCAGTGAAATTTCTATCGATTGCTTTTCCTACTTTTGAAACAGAACCATGTAACTCTCTGTGTTCTGTGGTTAAACGATGTACAGTTTCACAAACTTTTTTCATTGCCTCTTTTAATATTTGCACTTGTCCTGGGGTTAATTCATGATTGTCTGGTGCTGGTGAACAAAAAATCCAATCCTTTTAAGTGGGATATCATATACGTTTAATGATAAATACGAGATTAGAGTGCAATACTTCGTAAATTCAAACTATGTAGAAATATTATCCAAAAATGTAAGCGAACCGTTACGATAAAAGAGGTTAGAACTAGATAGAACAATATAAGAGGAAAATGGATAATATAAATATCTTTCAGGTTACATTTTTTGAGATCTACATATTCACATAGGAAAATTAAAATCTTCTTGTCCTATTTTCACTTTCTACTACCACAATTTTTAGAAAATGTTATTTTTTTGTTCATAGATTGTCAACGAACGATGACATTGTAAGTAGCGAGAGAGCTTTCACTTTACCTTGAGTAAATTCTCTTTTTAAAGATTCGATATGATTTATTAGATCCTGCAGTACTGTCTCTGCATGTTCGTTTACCACTCCAAATTTTAATAAAATCTTGTCAACTTCACGTTCAACGACATTACACGCCTCCATTATTGTTTTTCTTAGTGATATCACGTCACTGCTTGTCACTTTTGCTTTAATACGACTCACATGTATGCAGATGTATATCTCGCTTACACACATACGAGCATGTACAAGTAATATAGTTACATACCTTTCGTATTCACAAACGTGACATTGTTACGTGCGCGCGCGCGGTTTTTATCTATAGACACATGCAAATTTATTTTTATGTAGGATATCGATTCTCTTATTTATTAGTACAAAATTTGATGAGACAAGGGTCGTGTTAAAAAAATAAAATGAAACAATCACAAATAATGAACAGGTAATATGTAACGAATTTCATTCGAACATGAATTATTTTATTATTGTTGTTGCGCTGTTATTATTATTATTATCTCTGTTACATAATATACATCGTCCTTTTCACAGTATGAGATTATACTAAAACAATGTTTTACACTAAATGAAAATATACAATTGTCATAAAATATATATATATATATATATTAATTTAATTTATCAGAATGTTTCCTTTAATACTTGATTTACATTTTTAAAACTTCCGATATACACAAAAGCCTAATTTGTTTCACTTTCATTGTAGTAATTATACAATTCACTAATTATACAAACTTTTAGAAACAGTTTGATATACCCATAATAAATGCATTTTCCTCCTATGATTATTCTACTATTGATTAAATTGAACGTGGCTCTGTAACAAATTTGGTGCAAGAAAAAATTATGGTTATTAGTCCTGTGTAATTTATAGCAAGTACATGTATAATAATATTATTGTAATAGGAAAACATGTTTACCCATTCTCGTGCCATCATAAGAATCGTATTTTTAGGTAATTTTGGTCCGATTAAAGGATTCATTTGAGCCATATAGCAACATAACCAGCTATAAGAACAAATAATAATTTGCATGGTATTTAATAAAAAAATTCAGTTAAATGCTTCATTTGACATTTGTTAACTTACAATAACCAACATGTAAATGCTGTCAACATAAGCATAACCTGAAGGATCCTGCAAGGAAAGAAGACTTAGGTTATTATTAAACAATCTAGTACTTCACTTTTGTTTTTAACAGAAACAATTTTTAAACATCTACAATTTTTATAATAATACAACATATAATAAAACACGTACCCACGATTAGCACCTCTTGGAACAAAGATTGGTAAAACAATTCCTACTACAGCCCATAATGCCGTAAAAAGTAACAGTGGTATTATTGACGCTCCCATTTTCTTTGTAATAAATAAATTTTCTATGTCTTTTAAAAATGGGCTGAACCCACCGAGCAACCAATTTACTGATGTAAATGGGAGTCACGTGAATATCTCGATTTGCTTTCAACAAATACACACACTAGTTTCACAAACGAGAATAGCGAGATACGATATATCGCATATACTTATTCGATACGATACACGTAGTACGCGATTGATTGACAATCGAAAAGTTGATTAATATAATCGAAGTTAAAGTGGAGGGGAGGCTAATTCAAAAACATTCCTTTATTAATGAAAATTTTACAAATCTTAAAATTCATGAAAAAATTGAAATAGAACATAGATATAAGTAAAATCTCTATTCTTTATCTCCCCCCTTTCTCATTCTTTTTTATTTCCTCGCTCTGAAGGTATTGTTGTTGTGTTTAATAGAAACCACTTTAAGGTATTATATTTTAACAGCGAACGTTTATATTTTCTAATCGATGTACTGAAACTCCAAATTCAATGAAGATCAATGTTCTCCTTCACCAACATAAATCATAACGGCAACATTTAATCTCCAAATAGTCGTTCTTGTGTTATTTCTGTACTTTTATTCGGATGTTGAGTATCATCGTAACTTTTCGATATATCCACAATTGATGGCCCGTCGCCTCCGCCGATCGTAGAACATTGATCCATTTTACCAGTTGTAATCTCAGATTGCGTTTCGATGCATTCAACCAACGATTCTGTTAAACGTCTAACAGACTTTTTATCTGATTTTTCAGCGATCGTATCATGTTGCGTTTTTTCTACGTGATGAAATTTCGACGAGGTTGTGCACAGATTTGTACAGGAAAATACAAATCTTTCTAATATACCTGAAAGTTTTATTATGTCAACAATTAGTGGTCAATTAAAATTATAACACGCAATAATTCAAAACTGAAATATTTTTGTGCTCACTAACATTACCTGTTAGATTCATAGTTTCCTCAGACAAACAGATATCATCATGAAAACTAACACTGTCCCTGCTAAACAGATGCTGTCTGATACTAGTCAAACTACGTGGTTTTAACCTAATGTCGGTCAAGGATTGATCAACAGAGTCATTTTTGCGTGGTGTTTTATACATGACCGAACGTTCGGTGCGCATCTCGCGCCCTTTCTTGATATAAGGAATCAAACATGATAAATTCAATTGTGTTTTAGAAATACTATTCGCAGTTTGTATAGATAAGGGTGTTTTGCAACTGCTCACTAGAAAAATGTACCGAATAAAGAGTAACGAAGCATATAGAAGAATTAATGATACACAATATACTATTCTTACCTGTATAAGGAGTTCTTATATAGGCTAAAGGTTTTTGATGATGATGATCATTAGATAATCCATAAATTGTAGATGCCAATTTGTTACTCACGTCTAAAAAAGGAAAGATTCGTATATCGAAATATTATGTGCAATTAATTGGTAATTAAAAATAGAATAACCTACCGTGAATAGTATCGCCTTGCCCCTTACTGCTTTTTCCATAACTTGTATTCATCAATGTTGTATTATTCATAATAGCAACTAAAGCGGGATGTAATCGTTTTACTACGTTTAAAATTAATTCGCATCTTTTTATTACTCGCAATTGCTGTGGTTCCGTAGCGTTATCCACTAACAGACTTTTCGAGGCAGCATCAGCTTCGAATATTGCTTTAAAATAAAAAAAAAAAATCGATTACGGGTTTACATATAACAAAATATAAATTAACGATTTCATAATAAATACTTGCCAGCTTTTAATTCTCTAATCATCATTATTGTTTGCCTTTCAATAATGTCGCTTCCAATATCGTTTATGGTGATACTTATTTGGCGGGAGAGCGACAAGGATCGAAGTACAATACTTTGTACTTGCGCTTGAGTAACAGGCTTCCTATTGTCGAGACAATTTGTCATTACGGAAATACGATCCTGAAGATCGTCTAATATTACCTAAAAATAATGATAATGGCGTGGAAATTTTGTATAGATGTATCTTTGATGTGCATAGAATAGACATTGTCATAAAATACCTGACAGTAAGCACCCGAATCTATAATTAGATTAATCGCATCGTGCAACTTATTGACTTCCAATTGCCACTGTCCAGTTAACAGTTTTACATTTTCTCGCATTTCTTTACTCTCTGGATGCAAATAAAAAGTAGTAATGGCAGAAATCAACTCTGTTTCCAAAGATTCGAGACTTGCCAAACAGTTTCGTATTTGATTAATCCCTAGATAATACAGCATAAAGAATGGTGAATAACTAACAAGACACAGATGCGAATTTTGTATTAATTAATAGAGTTTGACTTACGATTTTTATCTTTGCAAGAGGCAATAGCAAACAATCCAATTTGCATGGATTTGTCTATAATTTGATCGAAATCCTCTATAGCATTGGATAAATCGTTCTTAGATCGTTTTTTAGCGCTTAATGAATTGCCACAGATTGTAACAAGCTTTCTCAGAGCGTGAAAGGGATCACTGAAAACTTCCATAACAAGATTCAATACCGACACATTAATTTTACGTTCTAATCGATAAAGCGCGTCGCTTAAACTGTTCATGAACAAATTATTCAATGCAGTATCAGATGATTCGGACGTTAATTGGAACTTCAAATTTTCATATTCAGATATAATCGACTGACACGTTCCGGTTATCGCTTTAAAATTGCAAGGTTTGCAGACCTGTGCAATTGCCATCGCACACGAGAATACATCTTCTATTCGAAGCCATAAGTCTTTGCATTCCAATATTTGATCTTTTTGTGATTTATTTGGAATCTCTGACAAGATATCCAATACCAAATCCATCCTAAATATAAAATAAAATAAATGAAAGAGATATAAAGCGCTGTTTCCTTAAAAACAATTGAAATTATTTAGTTAGATTACCTATAAACAAAATGATTTTTTTGTTCAAATGCTTCATCCTCAGGTAATGAATCTGATGTATCCAATATTTCTATTATCATCTTCAAGCAAAAGCAGAGTCTTTCACAGACATATTTCTTGCAATTCTATGCGAATAAAAGCATAAGTATCCTATTAGAGTAAGCTTGTGTGTGCTTTTAAAATGTAGAGATCATAAAACATTTTATTACATAGATTGGTGCATTTAGCCGGTGTTGTTCTTGTACTAATTGTACTAACAGTTTAAATGCTGCACACAACTGACACAAATATAGTTTGATCTTATCAGCTAACAACTGACACACTAAGCTTTTTTTATATATTTGTAATGGTCCAAGCAATTCCAGAATGGAAGTGCCTAATTCCTGATAATGTAATTTAATATAATATAATTAGGATAATTGCAGAAAACAGTACAGAATGTCTTGTGTCCGTATCTTTTATACCTTGATGTTTTGAAAATGTTCAATTTCATTGGCTTGACCCATTTCCTTGATGTAGTCTAGGCATTCTGTCAATCTTTGTTTCAGTGGCAAACATTCTAATTTTTCTAGACCTTCAAGAGTTAATTTAAATTTATCTAACACAGTGGACAAAATTTGAACTGCCATTTCTTTGTCTATGTTTTCAATCTAAAAGGAATTTTTTTATAATGGTTGACAATAAACTAACATGTATAATGTTCTTTGACATACAGACTCATCCATATATTTTAGCGAACAAAATTCTTCTACAATACTAATAATCTTTGATTCCATTTCTTCATAATCACTAATTTCTCCTTTTACCAAGGTATCAAATTTTTCTCCCAAACATTCCAAGTGTTCGAAGAGAGACGAGCTTTCTGATATAGAACCATTTGGAGTAACAGGGTTGGCATTTATTAGTTCTTTCAATTTATTTACCTAAGATATGGAACACATTAAAACTTTGTTACTCTTTACAAAATTGAATAATATAGGGATGTTAGAAAACTGATATATTTTTCTTACTTGTTCCTCCATGGGTATTAATATCCCTTTTATTTGCTTTGTCTTTATAGGCATTTTTAAACTTTTTATTTTTTAAACTATCAACGATGATCGGCCTAATCTCGTAACTCTTGGTTGTTTGTAAACAACATGAAAATAGTAATTAATTGATTTTTAATTTACCAGCACAACAAAACAAAAACATAATCCGTTGATGTTGTGAATTGTTACGGTCTTACCACATTTCATACTGAAAAATGGTATATAACCAATCGCTTAACATTTTCTTTGAAATTTTTTTACGTACAGTGAGTGTTTAAATGGAATAATTTATCTTTAAATACGTGTGTTTTCATAGAAATTCCAGTGGACCAAGTTTTCTGGAATTAAACAAACAGTTTATCTTTGTTCATTTGTCTATTTTAAGTTGTCTATACTGACTCCTGGTGTATATGCAAGCATGCATTTGCACGTGTGTGAATTTGAACAAACATGTTGGAACACGGTAAGGCACAGTTCGATAATATCGACGGCGGAACAAGTCGTTTACCAGTTACTGAGTTACTCAGTATGACACAACGTTTAACTGACAATTGGATATGAAAAAAGTGTAATTTATTAACAAAATAACTATGTAAGTAACATAAATATGTTATGAATTTTGTGTTAGCTTAGACTTTTAAACAAGTACCAATATAGTCTTCGAGAAAAAAGCGCTGTACGTTCACAACAAATCAAGTTTCAAATCAAAATATTCTTTCGGAGTGGATTAATCTTTCTGGTATAGGCACTTTTGTAATCCTTTAGACAAATTTTAATTATCGTGCATATTTGTAATTTCGTGATATTTTGGAATTATTACAAATCTCGATAAATCCAAGTGATAATTTAATAATTTTATTTAGTAAGCTTTCAAATATCAGAAAGGGTTATGTAATTTCATTCTCGCTTGATCGGATAATTAATGAAAGTTAATTCGTTTTCGTGTTAAGTTGATAAAATTATATTAATGCATGTGTATAAAATATTTATCTTCTTTCGTTTTTAAATACAAATTTTATGCTCTTTTTACAAATTTTATGCTCTTCATATGTAATATAGTATATACAACACATGCATGTGTCCTTAATAATGGCTTAATACTATTGCATAAACCTCGAATTTCTTATTCATCTACAAGAAATATTATTTCTATTACTGTGATATTATATTTTTTTCGCGTTATGTTAATGTTGTGATATTAATTTGTGGAACTACAAAAGTTTATTTCTAAACAAATTGATTTTTTGTATACTTTTGTATATTTCTTTTCTCCTCTTTGAAAGGGAGAGAATTCCCTATATACATATATACTTTCATATGTGTATTCATATATGTATTCATTTGGTTCAATTTCGGATTAAAAGAAACAAGTTAAAATTAAAAATTGTTGACATATGAGTAAGTTTGCAATTTGCAATGAAATTGTTTGAATGTTATAATTCTGTTTAGACAGTACAAATTATACTGGTAAACAAAATGAAGTATTATGAAAGTAATACAATTTTCCAATTTAATTGGGATCAAGTAGCACGTGGATTTTGGCAAAGATATCCAAATCCTAATAGGTAGGTATCAAACTCCAAATGCATTTGTGAAATACGTAAAACTACATTATTATTTATTGATAAATATTTAGAAGAAATAGTACAATTCAAATTATTTTTTCAGCACCCATGTACTTACGGAAGATACTGTATCAAGGAAGGTTGAAGATGGCATATTACATACCAGACGACTTCTGACAAAAACTAGCAGAGTACCAAAATGGGGAGAGAGATTTATTAGTAAAAATGTTGTAAAAATTGTCGAAGAGGTCACAGTGGACCCCAAAACGAAAACTTTAACAACATATACAAGAAATTTAGGTTACACTAAAGTCATGGTAATTTGGTATAGCAAGTTTGTGGGAGCTGTTGTATTGCGATTACTTGGAAATTAACTTTTATTACGCTTTTCTTGTTTCACAGGTTGTTGTGGAGAAAGTTGTTTATAAGGTGTGCGAAGAAAATCCTAATTGGACAGTTGCGAAAAGATCAGCTTGGATCGACAGCCAAGTATTTGGATTTGGTAGAGCTATTCAAGCATTTGGATTGGATAGATTTAAAAAGCATTGTACTCTGATGTATAACGGGTTTAATTATGTCCTAGCACATATGTTTCCACAAACAGCACAGTATATGAATCCGACACTTTCCCAAATGGGTTTTGCTCATCTAGTAAGAACAACGTACATAATCCAAGCCTGGAAAGGAAAAAATTTATATTTACATGTTTCTTTCTTTTTATTTCAGGTCGATGAAGGAGCTGGGGCAAGGACTAGTCTCGCGGAAGATTTTCAACATTCGTTACAGGGTAGAGCGGAAAAAGTAAAGGACGCTGCTAAAAAGGCAAAAGATTTGGCAAAGAAAAAAGCTGGAACGATTTATGCTGCGTACCAATCTGAACAGTCGTAAATAAAGCGATATTATTGATGTGAACAACGATTTAAAGTATTTGGGGAACAGAAACGGTGAAAATTAAAACAGTTTCGAAATGGAACCGAAAGATAATTCTTGCAAATCGACCGAGCGAATAGTATGAAATCGTTGGTAATTGTTTAGCATTGTCAATATTCATGTTTATAGTTGTTTAAATAGGATTCGTCCGTCGATGAAGCAAGGGAGGTGAAAAGAAGTTTTTGTTTGAACCACTTTACTGCAGTGACTCTGTATAATATTTCCACGTTGTCATTCCTATTAACTGCCAACACATATTTAATTTTTAAGATTCATTTAAAATATTTTTGTGATAGACGGAACAACATTTTTAAAGATCGCAATTATTGACTATGCTAAATTGCGCGAACGTGGCAATATCGCTATGCGTGTATATTTCCGAAAAAATTTCTAAATTCCTAATTTCTAATTCCTTTAAATACACATGCTTTACTTTGATAACGTGTAAACATTATTAAACACGATAACAAGAGAAAAATGTGGGAGGAAAAGTGTAGATTGTTTTGTAAAATATTAAAGTAGTATAAAGAAAATTAGAGAAATTAAATTAGAAAATTAGAGAAAAGAAAATCTCTTTAAACGAGATGGATGGTTTCTAAAAGAACCATGAGTAATAGCGAGTGCATATTGATCCTAAGTATTAAGCATTTTTTACCGGTACGATCCAAACTTCGTCGGTATCTATATAATATATATCGGTGTTGATGGTTTTCGTACGTAATTGTAAAATTGCAATTGCACTTAGAACATATTTGTGGCAATTCTGTATTCTGTGCACGCTTTTGCGTACACACCGTAAAATTGAGATATTCGGATGTATACATATTATATAAATGTATAATAGAAGAATTTGTATAAATTCTAGTTAGAGATTATATCATGTTTACGTTGAAAGAAATCCTAATCTGATATTTAGACGTCATTGTAACTTATGCAAATATGTAAACAGATAAATTGTATATTGTTAAAATGTGTGAATAAATTATCTTATTGAAAACTAAGAAACACAATTTTATACCTTCTTATTTTTGTAATTAATGATTATTAAACGTGATTCGAGATTTTGTCTTGATTTAATTGATTCATACCGAAAGAGTATCTTTAATACGAAATACTCGTCACTAGCCTTGAATAAATCTCACGGAAAGTGAGACTTCCGAACTAGGCAATTCATTATGTATTTATAATGTATAACTTGTATAATATATACGAGACACGCAACGAAGACGTATTATTTCTGCAATATCTTTGTTCTGCATAATAAGATAACAAAGAAGGGGATAAGAGAGAAGCATAAATTAGCAATTCTAGAAATGGTCTTTTATTACTTCCTGTGTTGTTATTTTCGAAGGCGTTAAAAAAAGAAGAAGAAACCGAACAGTGCACAGAATAGTGACCGAACAGGAAAACCCAGTATTTGCATGTATTAAGTAGTTCGCGCGAGGACTTTTAAGATTAATCGACAATTCTCTCTGGTTGGCTCGTTCGACTCGGCTATAAAAGTACGCGGACGACTTCTTTCCGTTCAGTAAACTCTCGATCTTGGTGTGTCAACCGAACGTGTATCAAGAATATAAAGATCGGAAAAGAAAGGAGAAGAATCTGTAAAGTGCGTTTATCCGTGTATTCGCGTAAATTTACGATAGAGAAAAGGAGGTGCACGATCAACCAAAATGTGGCAATTTTGTCTAGTGTTAGGTGAGTATGTCTCGCGAAATAAGTGGATCGTAGAGATTTGTATAAAGGATCGATTTACGTTCTAACGATGGAAATGCATGTTGTGTGTAGCTATCGCCTCGGGCAGAAGCGTGATCGCATTTCCACAGGTAAGGATAATCGAAATCGCTTAATCGTCGAAACGTTTTATACGTTTTATCAATTGGATCCTGAATTAATTAATCGTTGCTGTCGTACAAAGAACGATGGTCTGGCTGGTGGCAAAGTCGAGATTCAAACGATACCCAGTACGTTCTCGGTGGACGGATTCGTTTTCGACGGACCTGCAGACGGTAGAAACGTCGCAACCGCGGCAACTACCACTAGTTCTGCAACACCTTCGACGACCACGGAGGATGCCTCCTTCGACTCTCGATACAACCGGTGTATAGCTACGTGTCTGGTGAGTCGTGAAAGTCCTTGAAATTTTCGATCTTTTTCTTCCTTTCTTCTAACTTATCGCGCAGGTTTGTTAAAAACGTGTCGAAGGTCATGGCTATTTATTCGTTATACCGGTCATACTGGTTTATAACTTGGTCTATAACTTGCCGAACTTGCAAATGACGCATCCACTCGTGACGCTGTGTAAAGGCGAGATTTCCTATAAGCATCGAGTCAGATACTCACGTTTCGATCGGAAGAATCCAGAGCCACGCTGTTCTTCTTAGTTGAAACGTTTTGTATAGTATTTTTTCATTTTTCGAAATATATCCAGATGTTTACAGTTCTCGTATCTTTTATCTTTCGTTGACGTTGATTGCGGAACTGACGTCGCGGGGTTGCTCAGCGTGACTGAAATCTTTGTTTCCTTAACACGTGCTGACGATCGTGACGTGGTATTTTCCGCTTTTAAGAGCTACCAGACCATGACATCGACGTAGTGTCATCCGCAGTCAATGTGTTATAAATTGTATCGTACACAAGTAGGATATAAATATTTGAAATTGAACGAAGAAGAATAGCACTTGAATTAAGGAGAACGTCGTACGTCTGGGCACACGCGACTAACGCTTATAGAAAATCCTGTCCTCTATTCTCATGGGTTCGGAAGCTGAAAAGTAAAACGCGATTCGTAGCAATAAATGAGAAGGAGCGATAAAATTTTCAGACGACGAGCGAATACAATCCGGTATGCGGCTCGGACGGTGTTGAGTACTCCAATCCAGGACAATTAAGCTGCGCATCGGCATGTGGAAAAGGTAAGGAATGATCGATGTTAGTCCATACGTCACGGAATATTTATGACTAAATTGCGGAAGTTTAGACAACTACGATATGCAGGTGAATACGAAAAATATGTTCAAGATGTAAGCGAATTACATGCAGGACAGATAAGTTAAATACGGAATGTGACAGCAAAATAGAAAATAATTTTTCAGATGCTTTAATTCGACGAAAGATATTGATACTCCTATCGAAGTTTCGCTTTACTTTGCTTATCGCTTCGCGAAAGTATGCACTTTGCATAAACTTCCGCAATCTACTTGTTACGTTTGAAACGAGAATTTCATTTTCCTCGTAATACACGCGGTTAACGAGCGTTACGGTCATTTTGTAATTACAAAATGGCATTAATACCGACGCGTTATAACGCGTATTACAAGGAAAACTGTATTATACTATGTAGCGGCGATCTTATTCGTTAAGATTATGTTCAAGATCGATAAGTATCGTATAATCTACGAACGCGTTTAAGTCTCCATCTCGTTCCCTGTCTATCTAAAACTTATCAATGAAACGCGTTTGTTCTTTGTCGCAGATGTTACGCTAACACACTACGGAAAATGCAGGACTACGAAGATAAGAGGATAGATGACTTAATGACTGCGTACTACCGATCAACAATATCGATACGCGAATGCTACTCACATAAAACTAGTTTACCGCATAGTTACGTAATTGTCTATTCATCGTTGTTCCTTCTTTAATACAAGTTTTGGTTGAAAACAATCCGCGGCCTTGCCGCGCGTCTCACGCGAGGATCTCCTACCATCTCCTTTCCTGCCATCCGTTCAGTCATCGTAAAAAGAAACCGATTGAAAACGTGTCAATGACAAAGAGAGGGGGGAAGAAATGTAGCTATGCGGGCAACGCAATCAGATTGAGTCAGTCGCGAGACAAGGAGGAAAGATTGTGATCAGCCCATCTGACTCTCCGCGCTACGTCCAAGTTCCCTCCGTGAATGCCGTAGAGATGCCTGGCTAAGATATTGGCTCTGTCTTCTTCCGCTCGTATGGCCGTTCTTCTGTATTGTGCCACGGTCAATAGACAGCCAACGATAAGCGTTATTTGGACGATCAACAAGAAGATCAGTAGACTCAAAGCGAGACTAGCGTCGACGCAGAGCAGTCCGTCCACAGAATCTAAGGGCAAGATAGAACAGAAGTAATAAGCGAGGAAAGTCGGTCGCGAAATAAAAAGAAAAGTTTCCAGTTGGTTTGGAGATTACAAAAGTTTGCGAAACTCACTTCCTCCGGCGATTAGCACGGTATCAGGGGACGAGTTCTCCCTCGAAGATAAACGATCGGCCGAAGACGCGACGGAATTTTGAACGATTATGGAGAGTTCCAGCGATAACTCGTCCGGAGTTTCGTCCTTGGACGTTGGCGTTGTTTCGGCGTGGTAGGTTGCCTGCGTACTCCAAGACTCGCTAGCTCGTTTCTTTTTTCCGTAAGAAGGTTTATCGCCGTTGCAGTTGGTCTGTAACGCGTATCACACGGTGAATCGACCATCGTGGGACGATCGCGAACGTATTCTTGGCGGGAAGGACGTACGCAACGACGTTAAATTAATATTAAATCGAATAGGCTTGCAAGAACGCGAAAACCTTCTGAAACTTTCGAAACCGTAGTTTGCGAATTTGTAAGAACAGTTTCAGAAGCATAACACGTAGATTTAGAACTAATGCTACTTTTACATAATCTTAAGTAACAGTTAAGATCTTAAGTAACAGTTTATTGAGTAAGCTTGCAACTAGAAATTTGAAACGTCAATTTGTAAGAATTTTAGTAATTCAATTTTTTTTAAATCAAGCTATTTTCACTGTAAAGCGCTTTCGAACTAATAAAGATGCAGACATACGATCTTAGTTGCGATTAAATCGATTGATGTTCTCTTGTCCCTTAATGTATTCATTTACACGTTCGCCATATTCCTACCGTCGAGGGAAAAGGGTCGTAGCGATAAATGCGACTGTGCATTTCACTAACCGGTATGCACTTGTCCAAGCAGAATCGGACGAGTACGTTGAAACGGACTCGTTGACTATTGGGGAACTTGAAGGCTGTAAAAGTTGCGATTAATGAACGACCATCGACTGGATCCTTGGAGAGAGCGGGAAAGGTGGTTGGATCGGTGGGACATCCGAGTTCGTCCAGTAGCAGATACGAGGCATCGCCGGAAGCGCTGCTCGCTACTAAGTGTCCGGCGGTAATGTCATAAGGACCTACGAGCCATAAATTGTAGGAAATTACATGTACAGAATAATCGTTGCCATTGGAACAGGTTGTATCTGTTTTCTGGTTAGGGTTAGAGCGACTGTTAAATGAAAAAGACGTAAGATCTGCTCTAAGATTCTACAAGTACAGTTCTTTCGTATGTTTTCAACGACGTATGGAAAAGATTTACATAAACTTTTAGGAGGAGCGTATCTATATCTTTTAAACGTACATCGATCACTTGGAATATTTTGCGTCGAAAAACGATAAAGAGAATTGCCACTGATTAGTTTAAAAGCTATTTTAAGTTTAATTATATTTGGAGCGTGTAGAAAGATAAGGAAACGAAGATTACTGTAAAAGCATTCCATTACCATCTGGTGGACTCAATTGAATCTTCAGAGTGAGCTTCTGACCTAAATGCGTGACCATAGCGACTGCCGAGTTCTCGTCTAATATCCTCATGGTGACTATCGGCGCTTGCGAGGACGCGTTGACGATCGTTGAAGAGATCGGCGGCACTCCTGCGCTAAATGATATAGGAAATGGAAAATGGAAAATGGCGTATCGCGGGTATAAAAGACGAAGACATGGATACTCACTTTGGATCGAGAAAGCTGAAACTAGATTGAACGGTGACGTTTTTTGGTTGCGGAGGTGCTCGATCGTTTAACGAGCATCCAACCCTGACTGCTTGATCGCCGAGTCGTTGAACGATCGGATTGAATTGTACGACGATCGTTGCCCAAACCAACGGTCGCGTTCTACGAATGACAATATCGTTTTTTCTTTCGTTTTTGTTACAATGCTTTTGGTTCTTTGGCGGACGATCCGGTTACGAGTTACCTTTTTGCGCTAATGTTTTGTCACGTCTTCAGGGTAGACGTTAAAAGGCAAACTGTAAAGTTCGCGACGCGATAGTTTCCCGAGAAATCAGAAACACGAGAAACAGAAAGGAAGCTTGAAATTTGTAAAAGATGCTCCAACTATTTACTCCTTCAAGATTTCCTCCAATTAATCTTTCGATGTTCGAACCACGTAAACTCTAATCGCTCGCTGACTTAACGATTGTGCTATATTGCTTTCGTCTATGATATCTTACCGATTTTGATCGTCGACGGAAAAGGCAGGGTGCAATCCGCAACGAAGGGTACCCTCGCGAATCTGGTCAACGGGTGGAATAGGTAACGTCAATATTGTTCGATTACTGCCTGTACCCTGAGCGCCGCAGGTATCCGCGTATCCGTTCGAGTAGAGCCGGCCAAAGAAGGGGTCGCTCGTTTTCAACTCGACCGTCATCGTCGAATCGTTGCACCGCACCTTCACTGACCACGAGAAACATCGAGCGTGAAATCTATCGTGCCGCATGATTCGTTTTTAAATCTAAAGACAAGATCACTTACGATCTAAACAAGGTTCTCGCTCTCTGTAGACCACGTTCGTCGCGTCGATCAACGAGCTAACTCCTAGACTGGTGGTGTCTTCCGAGTGCAGTAGGCAAAGTGGTTGACCCGACGAATTGGCAAACGTGTATCCTCGACAGATAAAACCATCCACGCTCGAGTCGCATCTTTTCTCGCACTGCGTCGATTCGATCGTCGAACGAAATTACAAGGAAACAACAGGAACACATACGAGACATACAAAGCGGAATTAGAGGATTAACGCTATCGGCGACTCTGTTGCATGAGCTAAATGAACAGGAGCGAAGAGAAGTCTTATAGGTTTGATAGATCGACCTGTCGTTCCTATGGTTAGAGACGTTTATTTCGAAGATTTCAATGTGACAAGATATGCATGAAAATAAATTGATAAGTCGGTTATGACTACGATTCAATATTTATGCATGCTATAAAATCGTTGTTTTCAATAGCGTATAAAGTACCAAAAATTTACCTGCTTCTCGTCAAGGTCCATCAAAGCGACGTCAGAGTACGGTAACGAGACATTTTGGAATTCCGCGTACGAGCAATACTCGTCTCTGGCTGTAACACAGAGTTTCTTCGTTATCGACCATTGTGTCCGATTCGGTTACGACCGGTCGACTGATCGGTTTTCCAAGTTTCTGCAAGTTACTAGAAAGTTGCTACTCACACAGATTTCGACATTGATCTCTGAGATACTCGTCTCTGTACATGGACGCCCTGTACGCTCTTGGTCTGGTTCCTCGTTCGTACAACGAGAGAGAGCATCGTCCGAACGCTGTTTTGTCGATCGAAAGGGGTTTCGAAGTCCGAAATTGAGCGGACTCGCAGCTTCTTCCTGCAAGGAAATCTCCAACGAGTCAACTCGATCGATCTCGATCCGATCTAGCGCGCTTACCTGTCTCTATGCATTTCTCGTAACATTGGTTCCTCGTGATCGGATCGGATAGATGGAATGCGCTGGAATCGATGAACACCGCTCCTGGACTTCTCTCCACCTGCCAAAGTTTTCGTCTCGCGCAGCTTACCGGCACTGACGACGAACAAGAATAATTTAATAGTTTAAAAAATGATACAAACAGTTCGGTTTCAACTTACCTTTCACGCAAACTCGGTGGTAAAAGATGGAATTCGGTTCGGGTACCAGTTCGTCGTCCTCTATTCGCACGCTGTAGCAGACGCTTCTACCAAAGTCTATGACGAACGCGGTGCAGTTTACGCGTTTGCATCTGAAGTTCGAAGGAAGACGTTGGTCAAAGAAACGTATTTCGTTTACCTTTTCCGACATTTTCACTGGTTGTTACTGCTACTTGATTTTTACAGGAAGATAGGATCATTCGAATCAACGGACGTTTGTTTGACGGACTGAGCGATTTATCTTGCGATCGGACAAAATATTGCCAAAGTAGTTGGCAACGTATGATACACAGAATAGGAACATGTAAAATGTAGTATTTAAAAATAAACATTTACTAGAGTAAAATAAAACCGACGATTTTATTTTATTATATCATATTCGACGTTCTATGAGAAGCGAATATACACCGTAAGCTGTATATATTTTTTATTATCTACCACGATATATCAATTCGTATTACATATAGCAAAAAACCTAAGAGATTCGTAAGAAATTATTCTCTAAACAGTTCATCTTGAATTTCTCCTCGTTTTACTGCACAGCGAAAGGGGTAAGATTCGCGCCTACCTTTCGAAGCAACTTTTCGTTATTCCGTTTGAGTTGACCGCGCTAAAGAGAACCGTTTGCGCGTCGATGGTTTCCGGTTTAACGCCAGCGATTTTCTCCCAACTGTTGTGCGAACAGCGGCCCTCTGCAACCAGAGGCAGACCAGTCGACTCGGTGAAACGGTCTGCATACGAAATTTTAGATTATTTTTACCTGTTCTCGTGATAAAGCCGAGTATCACGATCCCCGCGAGAAGACGAGCGATCGCCGTCATGTTTATCGCTCGTCTATCGATCGCATGGCGCAAGCAGCGCAGGCGCGCGATCGGTCCGCGAGCTTCGATATCGTGCCAAGGATTTTCGCGAACGTTGCCTCGCACGCGGTCGTGTACACGACGATGTATCAGCTTCGCTTACGTAACCACCCTGAGTCGAGTCGGATAAAAAATAATTGGGACGAAAGTTCAAACGTTTGCCCGGGAAAATCCGATCGCTTACGAGTCGTAGTAAGTCATGGTTCTTGTTAAGTCTCGTTCAAATTCGTCAAGTTGCTTGAATCTAAGTTGCTCGAGTGCAAGTAATCCGATTTCAAGCGGATATTTAACCCTTTGCTCTCGGTTTGCTAACCGGTAGAGTTGCATTTATTTTATTCGAACAACGAATTCCACTTATCGCAACGAAATTTTAGTCGAAGCTCGTTCGAGCGAATGATTTGCCGGCTGATTCATTCGCGTATCGGAACGTTGCTGAGCTGCTGCTACTACGTCACCAAAAATAATAAATAACGAGGAAAATTTGCGAGCACCTATTACGCCAACTTCAATTATTACATATAAATTGTTTGTTTCTCGACGAGGTCAGATAACCATCGCTAATGACCGTGTTTGTCGCTAAACGGAAGAAGTTCAGATAAATGAAGTTTTAATGGAGCATGAGTCATGTAAATTACGAATATTTATACGAGAGAAATTTGACAGAATATTTGAAGCCGACCGAACGATAGCGACATTGACGAAGGAGTCGCGAGTTACTCGAATCGATCCTGAACGAGGATAATGATCGAAAGAAGCTGCAAAGTAGCGGAATCGCAATCGATTAACGCGGTAAACGACCCATTGCCGCGACGATCGTCATCGAACGAGTATCTGCGAACGACTGGTCGGTTTAGGGATTCGGTTTGGAAAAGACGCGACCCAACTGCAATTTCGCGAGCAACTGATGCACGCTGGTAGAGGCGCGTACGCGTTCACCTGCATTGTGGCGAGAAACGAATAGGAACGAGCTCGTGCACGTCCGCCCGCGCGCTCGCGATGGTCCACAAACGAATAATCGCGGTATGTTGTAACGCGATAACATGTAAACTCGTAAACGGATGTTCGATGGATTGTAAGACACGCGAATCGAGTGTCGTTGAAACGAGCTTCGACTAATACGATTTAATACGATATTGTATAAACTACGAAATACCATACTTTTATTTTTCATCGTGCTGACTAAACACGCAGTCCATCTATACGTAGATTCCTAATCGTACAATTGTCGTGTGTCCTGCGTGCATTTGACGCGCGATTCGCCGAACCAGACGTGCGAATTAACGGCCGTGGTTGGCGTTGAAACGTGACTTCGGATGGGCGGGCGCGTTCACGGACGCTTACGGTCATCAACGACAAAGGCTTGGTCGCGACGCGGCGCATCCCGGTGCATCGGTGCTTATCGCTCCACCACATACCGTGGGCAATTCGCGTGTAATTAGCGGTATACGCGAGGTTATGGAAATTCTATGACTCAAAGGCTTACGACTTGACGAATTTTATAAATAGAATACGCGAAACCGACTATGCGACAGCGAGCTATCGGCAGACGGTTATCGTACGGCGAATAAAATTTGCTCATTTCCGGTGAATGGAGAACGCTGTGACGTTGAAGAGCTGGAAGATGAAGCTGACGTTAGATCGTGTGCATTTCACTGACGATTTCATGGTTTTCGCGCTTCGTGTACGAGCAGCAAAGAGCTGCGGGAAAGAGGCGAGTCGCGGCGAATAGTACGATGACGCGATGCACGATTAGACGCGTCCTTCGACTTACGTAACAGTGATTTTACACGCGCTCGATTTCGTTGTTTACTCGCGTCATTCTGCTTTTCCTGGAATACGCGGTTTAATCCCTAACCGAGTCTCGTGACGAACGATCAATGAACCGATACGTCGCGAAAAGAGGCTCGCATCTACTGTTAGCACGTTGCGTTTTGTCTCGACGTTACAGATCAGCTCCATGGAAAAGACGATTTAGAACGTTCACGAAATATCCGGACGAATGTTTCATCTAACCATCGTGTAAGTTTAAAGCCTAGGTAACTGATATCTGTTTCCAAGAAAATAGCAAACAAGAAAAAAAAAAAAAAAGAATGGCGAAAGAATCGATTGCATGCCAAATGTCCCGCATTGCATTTGTAGCACCGATTTTGCTGGTAATCGTATAGGCACGTAATTGGCGAACGTATCTTGCACCCGCACTCCTTAACAATGGAGAAGATTTCTCCTGTTATTCTTTACACTTGTTGCTGTTCTGGTTGCAAGCGTTTTCGCAAGACGATCGTAAAACGAGAAAGATAAAGATGGTGAAAGAAGCGCAATGACTGATAAGAGGAAAAACAAGGATATATAAATTATGCTGTGTAGAAGATTAAATATATATTTCACAACGTGGAACGTAACATTTATAAGAAGTTTTAGGAATTTTTATCTTTTTTCCATCCTTCCGAACCAAGTGTAATGACAGCGGCTAAAAATTTGTTGTCGCTCACTTTATTATACATATAAACTCTGTTATAACAATTAATAAATCGATCCTATCCGTATCGATTATCGAGAAACAGTTCTCGAACGTACGTCTGGGTATTCGGGTCGTCACTGTCTTTTTCCCTGTTTGATATACCACGATAGAAAAATTGACGGAGAAATCTTGTTTCCCTCGCACGCATATCAACACGCAAATTAAAAATTCCCATACAAAAACATTACGATGAAATAAATAATAATAATAATAAATTTTTTTCGAAGCTTCTCCTCTTACGCGTCTTGCGCCCGGAATTTTGTATTTTCCTCTCTTCACACTAGAGCGTATTATCAACATATAACATGTATCTAAACATATTACGCAACAGTTAACTAAGATTAAATGAACGTGACAAACGAAGTAAGTACACTTGCTCGTACAGTTTCATATCTTTGTCTCGATAAAGTTAAACACCATTAGATACAAACGTTTAATAAACAAAAAGAAAAAAGGAAGAGATAAAAGTAGAAAGAGAAAGTCTTAAATACCAAACGTTACGACTTCTTTGACGACTCTAGCGTTAAAATCAAGAAGATAATGTCGACCAGCCTCTCGAGCCAAAATTATATCACGATGCCACGCGAGACTCATGAACTATTCGAGGTGATTTCAGTGAACAGGCGCAAAAGGGAATAAATAGAATCGACATTTCCGATCGCTTCGTTCAAAAAGGATGGCAAAATATCTGAGTGCTGGACTTTGATGAGCACTTCGCGAAGCCAGGGTAATAGTCGCTTGCTTATAAAGTCCCATGCCAATTTTATTATAGCTTTTGCGATAAGTTTGATTTTCTCAACAACAGAATCTCCGATCGAGCTTGTCGTTTCTTGCAAATAGCTTACCGGTAAATGTAGCAAGTTCGGCAAATCACTTATTAAATCTGATAGGCCATTCGACACGTTTGATCTTCGTCGTCTCTGATTAGAATTCCGACTGTTATCGAGCAGCGTTAAAGGGTTTTCGAGGAACGATTCGATGTTTCCGATCCACGAGAGAAACGTTGATCTGATCCTGGAGATGATCGAAAGGATAAACTTTATGATGTTGGTCGTTAGGTTGGCCGGAATATTAACAAGTCTCGATACGGTTTCTTCGATGAAGTCGGATGTAGAAGACTGCCGCGCGATGCGCTGCAACTTTGTATCAACCTCGTTGCTCGGAATAAGTCCAACTGGAACGTGATCCCGTTAACAAAATTGCACTACCCTTGAACACGTGCCTCTTGCGCAATCGAAGATTCACGTTAACGTCATTAGCAAAATTTCACGAGTCACAGCAGTTGCAAGTTACCGGTATTCGTAAACCATGAATAAAAGTGATAAGTGTGCTATGAGTAAAAAGGAGGAAAGTTTACGAGTAAAGTTAACGACAGTTACAAGCTATGTGATAAAAAGTTGGGAAATTGTAAAAGAGAAGTCTATAATTTATAGACGTAACGTAACACACATCTGTGACGCGATATGGAGTCTTGTAACTTGGCAATTTATCAACGTACCTAATATCAGTAAATAGACGAAGTATATGCCGGATTACGAAATTCTCTTTCACAATTTTACGATTTCACACCGGTATTTATACAGGGTGGTTGGTAACTGGTGGTACAAGCGAGAAGGGGGTGATTCTACGCGAAAAAAGAAGTCGAAAATATAGAATAAAATTTTTTTTTAATTTTTAAAATTTTTTAAAAATCTACACTGACATCCGTTATAACGAGACGCGATAAAGTGCAGGCGTACCGAGCGAAAATTCAAAGTCGATTTTCTCGAAAACAAAGCCTCGAACGAAAAATTGTTATTCTATATTTCCGTCTTCTTTTTTCGCGTAGAATCACCCCCTTTCTGCTTGTACCGTTGGTTCCGCAGTTACCAACCACCCTGTATAAGGAATTGCATCGAAAATGAATTACTCTCGAAGCAGGTTATCCGCGATTGTCAATGGGAGCGGAAAACAAGTCAAGACGATCGGTGGATAAATTCATTTACAAGAGCACGTATTCCAGCGATAGAATCAGAAAATTGAAAGTCAGTTTTAAAAGCGTCAACGTTGAAAAGCCGGGCGCCGCGTAACAAGCGTGAATACGAACTAAGATTGATAAGACAGAATAAATAAACGAACGAATAAAGAAGTCTATCAATGTAAAAGTATGTAGTTGTTAATGGCCTTAAACAGAGAAAAAAACGTATTCGCAATAGTTGTATTTAATTCGTAGTCCGATAGATGACACAAGATAACTCGTGACTCGTAAACTTTGCCTTTAATATTTCATTGCCAGACTTACTATTACAATAGTAAGAGGGAATTTATTAATACTAATGTCTTGTAGCTACCGACTTATAAAGTTTCGGTAATGATAAGATATTATTCAATGGCGCAAGATTGTGTAGCAGCGGATCGATCGATCGTAGCCGTTTTTTACCTTGATCGAGAGAAGAAACGGCAGGAGTAGCCCCACACAGTGCGCAAAAGCACATCGACAACAGTAAGACGATCGTAACGGTGTTCATAGCGCAAGTTCGATGTGGATCACGGTTGTTGGAAACTTGGTCTCTGACTTTTGGTCGACCATCGGAATCGCGATCGGCTTATACCCTTTATCGACTTCCCAACACGGTCAAACTGTCATTTGACTCGTTATCGATGCTAATTTACAACCTTGCATGCTTTTTACGTGTCACGCGATGAAATCGCCTAACGGAAAATTGCGTCAGTCGAATATTTTTCAGTATTATTTATTGCTGTTTATCGCGTGCAAATCGACGCTTATCGCCAAATGCCAACCCTCTTGCTTGACTCACCTCGAACTACACAACGAAATGTAGGAGGAGCGGGTGGGGTGATTGCGAGCCGTGGCAATTATATCCGACATTATCGCATCATTTCGAATTTTCACAAAGAAAAATTCTTGCAATTTGTTGTTTATTTTTACACGAATAGTTTCTATCACGAGTTGCCATTTCCTGCTCGTGTTCGGTATCGCACCGGATTCGGCAACGTCATTTAGAGTCGTACTCCGCATTCTTCGTCGTTTACCTCTTATCAATGATTAAGGATGCAGGTAAAAAGTTTCCGGATTTCATTGTTATAGATTCAACGATCGATTATCGTGCCCAATAATCGTGTATCGTGACTGAATTTTTTGAGAAGAAATTTTTCGTCAAGTCCAGTTTTTAGAATGCAGAGAAATAGTTTATCACAGTGTTATAAAATACTCGACATTTCTTCATAAACTTGTAGGATCTAGATATCATACGTACGTGCGTGGTTGAGTATATTTAGATACGTAGAGAATATTGCTCCTCTCATTTTTACGCTGCCACTGTGCCAACGTTTTTGTCTCTCGCGTTAGACATCTTTTTCGATGCTGCACGATTTTGAAATTTACCTTCGCTATAATTCATGCCTGCCGCGGTCGGAACGAAACGTAAAGGAATGAAAAGAGTCATGGACAAAGTCGATCGATCTTTTTTCTCTTTTTTCTACGAGATGTATCATTCACGTGGGAATATTTACGTGGGACTCCTTTGGATTTCTTTCTCCTGAACGAGAATCACGAAAACGCTGGTTATGGGAAAACCAGTGTTTGCGAAGCTGGTCAAACATCGTAAGTAAATGAGAACCAACTTGAACAGAATAAAATATGCTATAAGAGTATCCAGACAGTCGCTCTTCTTCGACGTGATTAGATTATAAGTTTGCAAGGAAAGAGGAAAGTGATCGTCGCAACTATATATAGAACTTAACCGATATTTATTAACAATTTCGTGCCAGTTTTCTTCAGTATTATTACACACGCTTCCCAAGTCTGACTTTTTCGTCTTTTCTAACGGAATTTAAATGTATAATTTCCGTAAGAAGATAGCAAGTGCTACCCGTAGTCATTGATTAATCGGCGGTTTAAAAACTTGATAGATATTATCGTATTATTATCGCAAATTTGCCAAATACTCCGAGTACCGGATTTGATAAAATTTTACCAAACACTACAAATCTCCGGATACTCGTGTGCGACAGTGTACAGTAAGCGACACTTAAACTTTGATCGCGCGAAGATGCTACAGAGCGGAGTATCAGAATTGGAAGAGTCGCTGACTCTGACGTATCGTCAGAAACGACCGTTTCGATCCACGCCATTGCGATCGATTTCTATGTAACTTTGTTGTGCTTTGGTGGACGCAACGGTCTAGGCAACTATCGCATCGGAAGAAGAGGAGGACGCGGATTAATCGAGCGTATCTGATGCGATTCGATCGACCAACCGTCAATTTCCTGACAAGACGCGTAACGTGCTTCGCTATCTTCGACGTTCCGCTCTCGTATGATCGAGCAATTTCATACATCACTATCTAGTTTAATTTAGATGGACGTAGGTACGTTCAGACTTGGAAATCGGGAAGGTAGAATCAGTCGCGTGACAGCCGCGAACGAGTGAGTAATAGTCGTGATATTAATCGACCGTCGACGAACTTTGTCGTGTACGAGACAATTCTCTGGTGCGTGGGCAAAGGGATATCAGCTAGATTTTGGCCGACAGGATAAGTACTAAGTAAGCTGCTATTTTTCTACGTCGTTGTCTTTTGCTTATGATTCTAACGGCACGAGTCAATTTCAATTTCGCTCCTATCCTGCTTTTTTACCCGTGGGATTCCAAAGCTAAGTGTTCATTCGATAGTAAAGTCGCATGCATAGTCAGTGTCAACGCAGCGAGAAATATTCCCGAAACCAATTCCAGATCGTTTTCCAGATTTTGTCATTAGGTGGTATTGACAAAGTCCGCAATCTCTTAGTTGTCAACCCAATATGTTGGAAATTTAATATAATGGCTTCGCGTTGGAAAGCTTCTCCGAAAAACTAACAATTTTCACTTACGCTCTTTCGGCTGCTAGAAAATTATTAACGAAGGAGGTGACCATGCTTCGGTTCAGACGGGAATTTTGTGCGACCTTGCTGCTACTGTGCGTCTCAAGAAGCACGTGCCTCTCCGCGTCTTTGGCAGACGCTGAACCTGTTTTGATACGACCGCTCAAAGTCTACGAGAGTTTGATCAAGGGTGTTCACGATCACTTCAACAACACCTGCATCATACTTTTTCACGGCACGATGAACGTGATAGAGAAGAAAGGTGAGCCGGTGATGTTTCAATGAATGTAAGAACGTAACGTTGAAGATGGAACCGTGGATGATCGTTTTAGGATTGGAAGATATGGAAGGACTGTTGGCGCTCCAAAGGTACTTAAGTGGATCTCTGAACATCCGGACTGTGATTATGGATTTTAGCATGTTCAAGGATCGAGTAAGTTTACCAAGAAATGTCGGATTCGACGGATTCCGTATTTAGAAATATTCCGGTATTCTGTGCTACGTATATCAGCGACGCGATGTTGCGATCAAGTTCTCAATTTGTTGACTATAGTCCAGTAAAAAGACAATAAAAGGAGGACAAATTCGGAACGAACGATTTCTTGCATTTCTGTTACATCTGCTATCAAAACGTATATTTTCAATCATTTGCCGAAAAATATTTAAAAAAAAAAAAAAAGAAAAAGAAAGACACTCGTCTTGTATCTTTCAATGAATTCAAAAACCTCAACACTGATCAGCTTTTTAGAGTCAATGTGTTCGCTCGTTCGTGAGCCTCAATATTCGCTATTTAATGTCTTGTGACGTAACTCAATCGGCTATCGTATCTCGTTTCAGGTAGGAAAGACTTATCATCACATCAAAAGGCCGTTGTTCGTGTTATTAAACGACCTCGACGAGATCAGGGAGCAATTCATTTCGGTGAGTAAAAATAAAGACAGGTAAGAGGAAATACCAGAGAAAAGAAACGGAGATCGTCGACGAATCCAAACGAAACGATAACAGGTTTCCAAATGGATCACGATGTCTTATCCGACGTGGTTGCTGTTCCTGAGGGACGGCACTAGATTCGACGAATTTTTGTCGAACGTCTACGTACCATTTGACTGCATTCTGATGGTGACTCAGAGAGATTCGAAGGGAACAGGTGAGATTGTCCGGGACGTGTACCAAATCAGCAAGGAGGATAATCTGAGATCGATGAAGTTTGGCGAGTGGAATGCGAGAGAAGGATTCCAGGGACCTCAGCTTGGATTATATCAACGTAGAAACGATCTAAATGGACGCAACATACGAGTGGTTTCCGTTCACGTGAGTTACCGCGATCGTTCGTACACAGGTAAAAGAAAGTTTAAAACTGATACCGTATGGATTTCAGTAATTATCGCGTTAAAAGCTTTTTATCGTATTGCTAATAGTCAGCTATTCCGTGGCATATACAAATTTTGTATATATATACAATCATGTATTGTACATGAGGATATATACTACGTTATATTAATTTACCGCTCTTATCAAATAGAAATCCAGTTTGTAAAATTATGGTGTCTTTCTGTACTCACTTTGTAAACTTTCTTTCGCCAGGCATTGTACTTTGTTGACTTAATTTAATCTAACACCGCTACTTGCTTTCTGCAAGCGTCTCGATACTTACATAAGAACAGAAATATCCGAGGAGCTATCGATCGCTATTGACGAACCGTTTTACTGGCAGGATCCTCCAGTTTCGCGGATCATTCGCAATAAAGCTGGTCAGCCTTCTAGGATCGGCGGTTTCTTCGGTGAAGTGATTCAACTGCTGCAAGAAGGAATGAATTGCACGTTAGTATAGCGTTTACAGAAACTATACCGATTACGATATACAGTGAGATTCAATTCAATTATCGTAGAAAATTTTTATGAGTATAGGCTGATTATAGGAGAGCTGCTGTTACATATTTTGGGAAACTGGTATCACGTTCGAATTTTCTAATGGAAAATTATTTTAAGGATGGATATTGTTAATAGAATATCTTATACTACTATTACTTTCATCGAAACAAATTTAAATTACAATACACGTAATATTTAGAAAATTGGAACTAAGAATCTTCTTTTTCAGGGAGAGACGCCTCCCTCCTAACGAGACGTTACGTTTCGTACGACACGCATCGTTAATACATTCAAAAAAGGTTTCTTAAGCGTTCGCGAACCATTGTACCGTGTGATCATTGATCAAGCGTTGCCATCGGTTTGCTTTCGTTCATGTTTTCAAGTTCGTATCTTCGTCCTCGTCGCAAGAGCATGCTACGTCGTGCCTTCTAGTCTTTTTCTTTCTGACAGTCGTCGCGTCATCTTCTTGCTCGGCTTTCCTCTTGAGGGCACGTCGAAGTTCTCTCAGCTGCCTGGCCGTTTCCTTCCGAAAGTATTCGTCTTGATTAGCGGCCGATCTCTCTTCGAACCATTCTCTCTTCCGGCCGTCACCGCTTCGTCGATATCTTTCGTAAAAATATCGCCGCGGAGTCGCGGTTGTGCTGCGTAACACCATCGCGCATCTATTATACGACATTTAGTGGGCAAAATAAATTTCCGTAGCTGAAATAAATTTAGGAACGAATAAAAAGAATGAAGAATAATTCTGACAGAAATATTACATAAACATTTGCAGTCCAGTAACAACGAGTAAGTAGTAAATATCAGATGTAAAGTTACTGTTATCTCTACTCAAGATTTTCTCGTGTTATGTTGTGAAAAATGGTTAAACCAATTTTTCTTTAATTTTAAGCGCATCTAACTACGTACGGTAAGGAACTTCTCCTTGAGCTAACGGGTTCTAGACATTTCGATGCGAAGCCTCGTAGCATGCTCTCCGCGTTGGACGATTCCGTAGCCCTTCTTCTTCTTCTTCTTCCTCCTCTTCTTTCTCTTACCCTTTCTCGTTTGTCAAACAGACAGTCCATCGTGCACGAAGATCGCGATATCGGGCTCGATTCGTCGACAACTTCGCGAGGAAGGTGACTCTCGAAGATTTAAATTGAGCTTCGTCTGACGTTCAGAGCATGATCAAGCAAGCTACTCGAATCCAAGCGGCTTGACAACCCCACTTTACCGCTATGAATCTGTAATTTACTTTGGTCGTCGCTTGAATTTTAAGTCGTTCGAATTCAAATAATTCGACTAATCTCAATGAGGTCCTAGGTCCATTTGTACGCGACTGCTGTAATTTACGAAATCGTTCGCCGCATGTTCCAAAGCGTCGATCTACGGAGAGTTAATACACAAATAAAAAAGAGTATACTTCGATATAAGACTTAATACACGTACAAACGAGAAAGAGTAGTATTCATTTGCATAATTTTTTATGTCTCTTTTAAATGACTCGCGCGACACCGAGGGTCTCAGGTTTACCTATATGGAGGCTAGCTCATGGGGTACCCGATTACCAAACGGCACGTGGACAGGTTCGATCAGAATGTTGGTAGAAGACAAGGCAGATCTCGCGGCAACCGAGCTGATGATGTCGTCCGACAGATTGGAGGCCATTAAATTTACCACTCCCGTCTACTCGACCAAGTAAGTTAAGAGTCAGCAGCTTTCTTCTATTATTGCTATTACTATAGTTTATTCGCTCATCTGCATTCGCGTAAAAGTCTGCAACCTGATGGTCATTAACAGTCATTTTTTACCTCCGCCTGCAAGCAACAGATCCAAGAAATCAATCGTGCAATTTCTCTAACAACTTACCGCATGCAACGTATCGGATCAGACGTATCTCTTGCTTGCCTTCTTCTTGCCTCCTTTTCATTCAGATGCCGCGCATACATCAGGAGACCGGACACAACAGCAGTGAAATGGAACACGTACTTGGCACCATTTGCATTCAACGTTTGGAACGCAATCGGTCTGACCGTCGTGGTAGTGGCGCTGACGATCACCGGGATCGATGTTCTCTCGAGAAAAGTGAATTGGTTTCCGGTTGATCTCAGGCCCAATTCCAGGTCCACCTTATCCGAGATTCTCTTCTACGTATTTGGTGCGTTCTGCGGACAGGGTGAGTGAGAGGCCAATCGAATTTGGCAAATTTGGCGCGTCAGTTACGAGCGAAGAAGCCACCTAAGGAAATCTACGAGTTAATTTTTATTAAACTAAGTTAAACTTGTTTTTATTGAACTATTTACTAAGTTCAAAAGTATTTGCTTCGTTGCACACGAATGTATATACGAAACCGTTTCCGCTACAAGCTAAATTAAACGGTGCCGGCTTATACTCTTCCAACTATATTCCCGAAAAAATGAATTTGCATAAGAATCGGTAGTCTAGCGGTCTAGTTTAAATACTTTGGTAATGTCGAAGGACAGGGAGACCTAATTTCGAATTTGCGAACAGGCATGGAACCGTCTCCTTTGGATCCCACGCGACTGGTGCATCTGAACGTTCACTTGACAGGCGTGGTGGTGCTTGCAGCTTATTCGGCAGCGCTAATCAGCTTCTTGGCCATAAAGACGTTCGTGATGCCATTTACCACGATGGAGGGTTTGCTGAAAGATGGTACCTATCGATTTGCCGTGGTTGGTGATTCGGCCGATTACAGTTTCTTCCAGGTAAGAGATCGTACTTCTACGTCCACCATCCGCCGCCAACTACGACGCGTTCCAATTATTCAATTCGAACGATCAATACTCTTTGCGACATAGATTTGCAACGATTTCCTATTCGTACTGCATATGATCTATTATAAATAAATTTTTCTAGAAAATTCACAATGTTATAGGCGTACCTAAAGAAACGCGATCTAATTGAGAGATTTGCTTCATCCTTCAAATATTATAATTAAAAGTTTCCCTGGGAAACTGCATATTTCATTTAGCACTCTATATGTTTTTGCGCGTTAAAATTTGTTTATAAGTGCGGAAAAATTCGCAGCTTAATTACAACGAATCGATATATTTCAATAAACGATATATCGATCGAAAGCCAAACAATATTCCTGTTGATAAACCTTTAAATGTATATCGTCAAAGAATATTACGATCGTCGGATTCAACAATTTACAAAGGTACGAGTAGTTTCGCAATTTACTCTGAAAATATTTCGCTGGTTTTTCTCGGGCACAAATAGAACACCAGTGACACCGTGCTCACGGTCATGTTCGAGGAGCTGTTGGCCAGGGAACTTGATCTGCCGGTAAACTATTTCGACGGCTTGAATCGTGTTTGTCAGGAGAAGAAATACGCTTTCATGACGCTGGATAATATGGCCACCGTGCTGCAAGGGAAAGTCGAGTGCGCGGTAGAACCTCTGGATGCGATAATGCAGACTACGATAGCCATGGCAGTCCCGAGTCACAGTCCTTATCGTGGCATTATCGACACCAAGTGAGTCAAATATAGCGTTGCGTCGTTCTTTCTTCTCTCTTTATCGGTGACTTATCCTTCGTAGCATTCTTCTGCTACGGGATAGCGGCATCCTTCAGCGGCTGTTGAAGCTCGAATGGTCTAGCCAAATGCGTTGGGTGAGTCGTTGTGAACTATCTTAAAATATGCATACTTGCAATTAGTATATCGCGCGGAGCGAAGCGGCAGCATACACTGGAAATTAATTACATTCGACGAAAACTCCGTAAAGGACTAAAGCGAATAAAAAAGCCACGCTTGCTTCAGAAATGTTTGAATTTTTGACGCATTAACGAAAAGGAACTTTGTGGCATGGCAAAGTTATTTCATTCGTTAGATACGGTGATTGACGAAGGTATTCGAACGCTTACCACGGAAATTTGTAACGAGTATTATATCACATGTCTTATATTTTTTCTATTATTATCATTATTCGTAATTCTAGTCGCTCTGCGACTTAACCACTTAAGTGCGATGCGCCACCATAGTGGCTTTCGCGAATGTAATCTTGTATTACGATGCGCCACTATAGCGGCTCACTGTAACGACTCATTCGCTCACCGTTTCAGATGATGTTGGCAAAGACGCTAGTACTAACCGATTCGCTAAGACAGTGTATAAGTGGTAAAATAGAATCGCTAATGATTCGTTAATTAGATCGCTGATAATTCGTTGATAACTGATCGACAACCGACTGTAACTCATTTCCTTGCGATCGCGTCCGTTTATTTATACTGGTCGTGGGAGAGTTGGAAGAGTCAAATTCGTTTTTGTCCGATGGTTGCACGTAGCGGCGACATTGTTTTGCTCGGAGTTTATTTGTTCTTACATTACGCGTATCCTAACGATCTTGAAACTCCGAGGCAAAACAACAACATGATTGTCCTCTAACTCACGTGCCGCTACATCACCTCCCTACCAGTGATAACGTTTTTATATTTGTTGAAATTGCTTTACGAAGTCTTTCTTTCTTTTGTTGTACATACGGTTGTACGACTTCGCTCGTCGTTTTCGTGCGCGGTTGCGAAAGTTCGGCATCCGCGGGTTTGTCGTTTCGATGCGGGGTAAAGCGTCGGCCGCTTGTTGTCAAACTCGTGCAGATGTTGCGCGACATCCTCGATATGCGGCGGTGGATACCTGTCGATACGATGCAGGCGTTCGACACGCGGTCGCCGCGGTGTCGTAGGCCTCCGTTTTTCTTTGGTACGACGTGCAAAGGCGATGCCCATGGACTATTCACTGGCCGCGTCACTCCTTGATCGATCATCGTCTCAAATCTCGCCTTCGACTGCCCGCGTCGAGCGGAGGCAAGGCGTC